AAATCCCTCTGGGGTGTCTCCCAAAAATGGCCCCCTTTTTAACCCTTTAAAAAATTTTTTTTTTTTTTTTTTTTTTTTTTTTTACCAGCATTTCACTGAGAAGCAGCTCACATAATGAGTCCAGCTGATGTGCAGTTCCACCAGGTGTTTGCTAATTGCTGCTGGCTAGTCTGAAGGAGCTGAGTAAGGGAGTTGTGGCAGAAGGCTGCTCTTAGAGGCGAAAGCTTGGAAACTGCAGCTCTGAGGAAGAGCTTGGTCCCTCCAAGCATTTTGTACAGCTGAATGGTTGCAATGGGAGATGAAAGGATCAAAACACTCTATGTATGTTTTTGATGAGATAATACTAACATGATGTAAAGCTCAAAACATTTTTCTTTCTTTCTTTACATAATGCTGTCCCTTTAATGGACTTTTTTCATTTGAATGATTTGAGTCTAACATAAAAAACAGTAAGTTGGTGAACAAGTCTATTTATACCTATACTTAGATTTGGGGAAATCCCACAAATTGCAGAAAGACTAAGATATTTCTTTCTTTTCTTTTTTTTTTTTGGTCATCAACAAAGTCCTACGTAAGAAGTTAATATCTGACTTCTGATCAGAAACAACATTTAAGCTGGTTGGCTTTGAGGGGCAGGGATAAAGCAAGCTAACATCAAATGTCTGGAGTGGTGAATATTTATGCAATCACTTATTTTCTGTTACATTCATTATCATGTTGCAGAAACCAGTTTGTACTATGACCTTAAAGGGAGTTTTTTGCACAAAAAAAAAAATTCTGATAATTGATTTGTACAAGTAATAAAAATATAAAACATCCAGGGGGGGTTAATGCTTTAGAAACATTTTTTTAAAATTGTTGCAGTTGTATAATTATCCCAAAATTAAAATGGATCAATAAAGCCCTAAATTAAGGATATCCATTCCTTGAGATTACATAGATATCTGATCAGAACATAACATTTCTCTCTCTTCTCCTTTAAGAAGTGTTTTTGTGCAGTAGCCTGAGTTTGCTTTTTCTTCTTATTGAACATTATATCAACCTGTCCATTGTGACTAGGGAAGAAAATTAGCCACTTGGCTAAGATCTCATGTATTTTGCCTGTAAATGTTAATGTTCCATTTTAAAAATTACACTTGAAACAATCAATAAAAACAAAATAAAAAAAATCTTAGTGGTCGTAAAACAACAAAAGGGCATTTTCTGTCATCTTCTGACATAAAATGCTAATCTGCTAAAAATGCTAGAACCGCCACTGGATGCCTCCCAGGATCAAAACAGTCTTATTGTGTGATGCAATAAATAACTTGATGTATAAGCAAAGAAAACATCCTACTAACTATATTTAGATCTGTAGCTTAATGTCAGTCATTTGCCATTCATTTGAAACCATTTTTATTCCATGTTTTTGCATTACATAATTTCAAAGAAAGGAAGGCAGTGCTCTCTCTGTAATCTATTCAGTGTGTTCACACCAGAACAGACTTGTTCTGCTCGGCTTCACAGCTCCTGCTTGTTCCTCACAGATGGGTTCTGGGGAAAGA